CTGGGAGCGGCTTCGTGATGCCTCGGTGCGGCGGCGGCCCCGCGGTGGTCTCTTACTGCTGTGGTTTTTAGTTACTGTGCTGGAATATTGATGGCGTGTCGTCTTCTTCTTAATACTGCTATCAAAACTGTTCAGCTTTGATCTGAATCTAATGCTTAAAGTTGTCTTGGTTCAAATACCAGTTTCAGGAAAAAAAAAAATTAGTTGTCACTGCAGGTTTCTGCAAACAGCGTCACCCCAGTGGAAGAGTGGCATTCAGTGGCAGAAAGGGTGTGTCTGGAAGTACTTCCACTTACAAAAGCAAGATTTCATAACTGAGCGTCAAAGCAAAGTCATTTCTTCTAGCAGCCTGGTTATATTCTCACTTTCACTTCTCTGTGGTTAATGCCAGCTGCCCAGTGCTGCGGGTGCCTGTTGTTCAGGCGTCTTTAAATTTACCTTGATTTAGAATGCTCTTAAGTTATGTTTGACTCTGTACACATAAGTTATGAACAGCTTGAGGAAGCGTTGGGGTAGTTGGGGTGTGGTGATACCAGAGGCTGTATAAAGTACGTGTAACTGCAAGGACTTGAGGGGGTTTATGGGTAACGCGTGCACTGTTTGTGGAAGTCAGCTGGCAGTTTTGGTGCTACCTACGCAGACAGGCTTCTGCTGTCAGTTTGCCCATGAGTGGCGTCACTGTTCTCTGGTCAAAACTGTATAAGATGACCTGAACTTGTTATTCAGGGCTGTGACCTTGACTGAATGCTATGTCCATAAAGCTAACTAATTCTTCAAAGGATGGCTTAAAACCTCTCAAACTTTTTCCACCACTTGTGTTAGGCTATTTACTCATTCAGGTTTATACTTAACAGATGTTTATGCAGATTTGGAGCATCTTTTTTGAACATGTGTTTGGAGGGCAGAGTACTCATCCAGTGTTATGTCTCAAATTGAAAGTTAGTTGCCAAAGTAACTCAAACGTAAATATGTAAAGGGTCTTGATGTAATTTACCTGTATTAAAAGGGGTATATCATCCTGTTTTCAGGTAAGTTGTGAGAGATAAGACTCTGGAAATAGAAGATAAATATAGCTAGAACCTGGTTAAAATGCATATTTAAGAAAGTTCTGGATCGTATTACAGTACTCTAGTGATAATGCCATTTCTATTATAGGCTGTAGTATAGTTGAGAATAAGTAGTAAGAGTACTCTGTTGCCTGAAAACCACCTAACAAAATAGTAAAGGTTTTGGTTTTGTTTTTTTTTTTTTTGTGAACTTGCAGGAATATTGTGTTAAATTATCTAAGCAACCATGCTGGCTGCAAGGCTAGTATGCTTGAGGGCATTATCCTGCCAGACTGTCCGCCCCACCATTACTCAGGCTTCCCCAGCTTTGAGGAACTCCAATCTAAATGCATACAGGCTGTGGCAACCTAACCAGGTAAGGTAATTCTCTTTCTAAAAGGTGGAGTCTTTTGTCAAAAGAATTGCTTTACATGGGGTACCTGTTTTGAATGATCATAAGTCTTCTGCTTGTTTGAGGTATCTGCTCCAATTTACTGAAGAAAGAGTGTTAAAAAACTTTTTTTTTAAGAGCAATTAAAATAATATTTTCTGTTCCAATGACTATTTTCCCATCGAAATTACTGGAGAAAAGAACTTAAAGGAGGTAGTTAGCAATGGGCAAGTTTTACTACATAAGGTGAGAAGAGCAGAAATTCTTGTCGACCTCTTTCTAGCTCCCGGTTTCTGAGTTAGGTTCTTAAACATAGTATTAAAGTAAAAACTTTATTTTCAAAGACTTTAGTGATGTTTTTACTTTTTTTAAAAAAAAAAATAAAGCTTTATGGCCTTGTGTAGTACAGTGGGACTAAAGTAGAAGAAATGCAAGCTGAAAACTTCATCTTCTGAAATTCATTGCACTGGTCCTGTACTTCTAGAATATGTGAATGTTACTCACAAAGCTTCTTTATCTTCAATGTTCAGTTGTTTTCCTTGAGCTCAGTTGTTTTGTGTCTTTGGGAGGTAAGCATGGATGAATAAGACTGAGTAGCAATTTTAAGTGTAGCAAATAAATTGGTAAGAAATGTCTTCCTATTTTATTTCATTGAATCTTTCTTATGTTACTTCTGAATCTAACAGTGTTATGCCACCAGAGTAAGAACCGGTGTGAGGCGTGGAAAAATTGGCCAGGAAATTAAAGAAGCGGCATTTGAGCCATCTGCAGAAACAGCACTTAAAGGTAGAGTAGCTCTGCTTTAAATACTGAGAATCTTTGGAGCTTAATTTAAAACTTCCTCAAAGGAATTAGTTCACTTCAAACCACTGAAGAGACTAAAAATATTGTTTCACGTGTAAGTTTGCTTAGTGATCTCCCTCACATGACTGGAGAGAGTTTCTCTCCTTGTCTTTCCTTGTAAAGTTTCTAGCTGCAAGTATGTCATAGTAGAGAGAAATCTTTTGTTGTCTCTAAGATGCTGTGGAGAACTAAGTCAGAAATGGTTGTCACTCAATGGAGACTTGGTTGCCAATAATAAAAAATATGCTGGCACTTGCTTTGCTGCATCTACTTTGTGTGGTGTTTAAAGGAAGGATTTTTCTACAGTATGTAGAACTTGCAAAACAAAGTTTGTGATGCTGCAGTTATGCAAGGCATTGGCGTAGTGTCCTTGCTAGTATGCTTAGCGTGGATCCTAATTTCAGGGGATTACAAAAGGATTTTTTAGCTGGCAGTATTCAGGAGAACACTTGTCTGTGTCCTGTAGCATTGAATTGGGAAATGGAATATACATAGAATGGCCAGATAGTGTCTTGGCTACAACATGTTAGGAAAATGTGTAGTCTTGTACTTGTATTGGGTCTCAGCTGCTCTCACTTCAGTAACAACTGTTTTATGATTGATATTTATATTTGTAGCAGTAATCTGATATGTGGCACTATGACACACAGACACTACGACTAAAAATCAGACAGTAGAAGCCAATAGTAAATCGTGTTGTTGCCCATGAGCTTTAGAAATCCCTTTTTAAACTGATCTGGACCTAATTGCTGCCAAAGACCTCTTGAAGGAGTAAACATTAAGGGCAGATGGATGAGAGGAAAGAACTGTTTTATAGCGAGTTGAACAGTGAAATAGTGTACTAAATCAGCTGACAGGGGAACTCTTCTCTTGGAGAACCTGTTAACTGGTTTTGTGTTAGAATTCCTGTTACTGTAATGAAGGTTGGGAAACCTGGTGTGTTACTAGCTGGTCTCTTAGTTCTTACTCTGTTTTACAAAGTTACATTGTGTTGGTAGGCTGAAAGCAGAGCTTTTCACGTGTAACTCTTTGAAAGCTGGTAACACAGTGACTTGAAGTTAAGTGGAGCTTTAAGAAAGAAGCCTAACATGGATCAGCTATTGCAGATACAACAAAATGTGTGTGAGGATGTTACTAACTATCCAAGAAAAAGCCTTCATAAGAGTGTGGATTTTTTTTTTTTTCTTGATACAGTTGATCGCCTGGGGAAATTTATTGTTGCTGGAGGGGCTGCTGTTGGCCTGGGGGCCCTCTGTTACTATGGAATGGGCATGTCCAGTGAGATTGGAGCTATTGAGAGAGCTGTGTAAGTAAGATGGCTCGCTGTTTCATGTAAAGAGTATGTTCAGTGGATCTCCCTTTATGTCCATCTCTCTGGCTGGTATCAGCCAGTGTACACATAGCTTACACTTCAGCTCTGAACAGAAAACCTTTGCCTCTGTACGGGATTTTAAAGCATGTCACTGAAAGCAAAATTTAAATTACCCAAGCTTAATCGGATATTGACTTAAGTGAGTTCCTTTGTTTTGCTAAATTTGAAATTTATTTCTGATGAATATATAAATATGTCTTATGAGGTGTTCCGCAGATAATTCTGAAGGGTAGTCTTCTGTAAAATATTATTAAGGCCACCTTGCCTTGTATTCTCATGAGACTGTTCGTTCAACTTTAATACAGCAGTAGGAAAGAGTCTCCTTTGAACACACTACTTAGCATAAGCCCTGCTGTAATAAATGTTTTGCTTAAAAATTTTTTGTTCGCCAAAAAGCAATACACCAACCTGACTCTGATGGCAAAACCATACATTTACTTAGATTTAAAAGGTGGTTAGTGATAAGCATGGGCTTGGGAGGAATGAGTGCTGAAGACATTTTGCTTTACTTTGCCTTTGCACTTAGGAGTGACCATCCACGTTCATGTTGAATGCTTGCTACTTGTATTTATGAGAAGCTTTTCAGTGATACAGCCACATATTTTTTTTTCTCCACCAGTCTTGAAGTAATGAGTCAAAGGAGTAAAATGAGAGTAAATGCGTGCACTGTTTGGTGTTAGCGGGGAAAGCTTCCTGTCCGTAGTGCGACTAGGTCGTACTGCAGAAACCCTCAGTCACATCTAGGCCTGTTGCTATTGTTACAGCTCTCAAAATGACGCTCGTGTCTTGTGATGTCGGATTATCCCGTGCACTGTGACTCAGCACTTTGAGAGCTGCTCAGCAGGCTGCTCAGTGCCCAGTATATGTTCTGTAGACATTTTGCCTTAAAGCAGTTTGTTACATACACACTATGTTCTGTTTTTCCATAGTTAAAAAGCATTTGTTACTGTTTTCCAGGTATGCTTCCTCCTTAGAATTGAACTGTAACGATCAGTTTGTAATTTGCAGTGTTTCTAGAGTTATGTTACATTAGATGAGCGAGATTTGAAAGTTCAGCCCCCTGGTGTACTCGTGCCAGAAGTTGCTAGACCATATCATCCTTAGGAAACCTCCCTTGTATCCATAGCTGTGAATATATTTAACACCCTGACTGTGTTTTTAGTTGGTCTTTATTTTGATGTTGGCAATTGCACAGCTAGGTATGTATGACTGTTTGTTTTTCAGTATTTGGCCGCAGTATGTCAAAGACAGGATTCACTCTACCTACATGTACTTTGCGGGAAGCATTGGCTTGACAGCGCTCTCTGCCGTAGCAGTGAGCAGATCTCCGGCACTCATGAGCCTTATGACAAGGGGCTCCTGGCTGGTAAGCTGACATCCTAAATACAGAAACATTCACTGAGAAAAGACCCTAGTTGTGATGGTTGATATATGTGAATGTGATATATGTTGATATACGAAAATGTTGATAAACAAAAACCTGAAATGTAAACTGCTAGTTGGAAAGTGAGGCAAAATTTCACTTAACACTAGTATGATTCAGGATTTGGTGATTCAAATTATATGCTGACATGCACCTTCTATACTTTATTTGGTGGTTTGTCAACGACAAAACTACGTGAGCAAAAAAAATGCTATGCTGCTCTTACCAGCTCTATGCAAGTAAGCCATCTGAGGGTAATGACACTGTTTCTGTTGCTTTCTGAAAATGGAAACTGAGGTCCCTGTGTATTCTTGCTCCTCCCAGTACTCTTCTGCACAGGTCTTTGAAAGTTGTCTCCTGTTTGCTCAGGCTGAAACAGTACTGGTGAACAAATCACCCAGGCAGGCTGCTAACAAAATGTGCCTGCTTAGTACATATTTGGTGTGTTACGTGGAGTGGAATGATAATAGTTAAATGCCAACACGTACGTAATTTCACAGAGGTTAATTTAATAACATGTCCTTGGTGATAAATCAAAGTTGTAGATTTCTGACCAGTTTGCTAGCTGCTGGATGATTCTGCTCTGAATCATCGGTAAGGGGAGGCCATGAGGTTTAAAAATCATTCATAGTAAAAGCATGTGAACTGAGTATTGGCTTTGGGTGGAGAAATGTGCAAGAAGAAAGGCAGGCTGACATTTCAGTACCTTCATGAGGGTTAGAGTGAGGGGTGGAACCAAATGTTTTCCTTCTCTTACCCTACACAACTTAAGAGATTGTTGCGATCTTACTCCTAAACTTGAGTTCCTAGAAGACTGAGTAAAAGTAAAACTGTATTTACTGCAAGCAAAAATCTGCAAAGATTTGACTGTAATCTTACGGGGGAAAAAACCTGGTAAATGCTCTAGTTATGAGTTAGGTTTCTCTTTTCAAAATTATGCTATCGACTTTTAGACTAGGAGGTTAAAGGGGAGACCATAAGTCCTAACTTGAGCCCTGTAACACTGCTTTTACAGGCAATAGGTGCAACTTTTGCAGCTATGATTGGTGCTGGAATGTTGGTCAGGTCCATATCCTACGAAGATAGTCCAGCAGCTAAGCATTTGGCTTGGATGATGCATTCAGGTACGTGACTGTAGAGTTCATTGTAGGGTTGTCTGTGCTTCAGTGTGACTGGATTCTTAAACAAAACTTTGGCTTTAAGGTAAATTTTTATATACTGCTGTAGGAGAGTAAAGTTTTTTCAGAGACCAATGAGAACTCCTTAATGTCAGGAAGATTTTTCAAGTGTCCTTAACACAGCTCTGATTTTCCATAACCTTCTAAAAGTCATGCTCAAATTAAACTTGACTTACAAAAATGCCACACTGGATAGAATTAATTGGTTTCATAGCTGCTTTGGTTTCATGACTGCTTTCTGGCACTGTAGCCTCTGTAAGCACTGTTGCTTACACTTGCCATTCTTCAGCTGTACAGGATAAGAAAGTATTTGAAAACCTGACTAGAAAAGTGAGATTTTTGTATTAAACTGTAGCTGCTTAGATACGTGTTCCCATCAGGTACGTAAGCTGTGAGTACAGATCAGTTTCTTACTAATGATAACCTACTTCAAATAACAATGGCTGTAATTTTTCAAAGCTGTTTTGCCAGAAGTAATTTATGGTTCAGGAAGGACATGTGGATGTTAGGCACTGGAATCATATTTGCCTCCCAAGAGCTAACATTTCTACCAAGAAGAAATTGTGTTTATTTTAGTGATTGTTACCAAGTTAACCTAATATAATATTATAAGGGACAAGGTAGAGATTTTATACATGACTAACAAAAATCCTGACTTAATTGCCTAACTAATTACTGTAGTAGAACTCTGTCCTGCTTTTCAGGGTTGAGTGCTTCTATGGCTGTTGTGTGGTTGATTTGTCCATACTAAATATCTCTTACCGGCTCTTTTTTGACCAGACAGTGTGTTGACTTGTTAGTCTTCCTTCCAAAGACCAGCTCCCTGAAGTAGTCTGCAGAACTAGTTAGAAGTAGGTCATGGAAATTAAGGTTGCTAATTTACTGTGCTCCCTTCTAGATAGGTGCACAATCAAGTGCGTTGCTAATTTGTCGTGTAAGTAGACTAGTTTGAGCCATGTTGTCTGACTGGGAAAAAAAAAAAAAAATTGTTTTGGCAGGTGGTGTTTTTACCGGAACTGTTCCAAATCTGGGTGGTGTTTTGTTTTCCTTTGGCTAGGTGTCATGGGCGCAGTGGTGGCTCCTCTGGCCTTCCTGGGTGGTCCGTTGCTGATCCGAGCTGCCTGGTACACTGCTGGCATCGTCGGGGGGCTCTCGACTGTGGCTATGTGTGCTCCGAGCGAAAAATTCCTGAACATGGGAGGGCCTCTTGGAATAGGCTTAGGCTTTGTTCTTGCCTCTTCAATTGGTAAAACACTGTTTCATACTGTCACATAAAGTAGGTTATAAACTATAAGCTGCTAAGGTGCATCTCGTGTTTAATTGCAGATTGGTCTGTCCAGTTAAGGTTTGCCTTAAATAGCCTTTGCAATTGTAGCACAGCAGAAAATACCCTGTTAAATCTGAAAACAGACATGAACTTACAGCTCTAGCAAGTTTTAATCTGACAAATGGCCAATACCGGTGGCTTTTAGTTACTGCCAGTGACTAGGGAAGGCAGTAGATGTGATCTTAGTTCTTGATCCACTTGTTATTCTCCCTTCTATGTTTCTAGGCGTTGTTGTAGTCCTAGAGACAGAAGTACTTTTCCATGAAGTACCTGATTCCCTAAGGTGTTCAGAATTACTGGATCAGGCTGTATATGTGTTTTGATACTCTTGGTATCGATGCACCACGAATTGAGAATTGAATAGTCATTGAAAAGCATGTGCTACGGTAACTGAAGTTTGACTAACTCAGGGTAGCAGGTACACGTAGTAGTGTTCTTTAACACTATTGTACATTCCTCTTCAGGGTCCATGTTTTTGCCTCCTACTTCTGCCTTTGGTGCCGGCTTGTATTCGGTGGCTGTTTATGGTGGACTGGTACTCTTTGGCATGTTCCTGCTCTGGGATACACAGCATGTTATCAAGCGCGCAGAAACGATTCCGTATTATGGAGTAACAAAATATGATCCAATCAATGCGTAAGTACTCTGCGTTAACACAGCTGACCTCAATGCTTGTGTAAGAATTTGCTTTCAAGCTATATCAAAGTAGGCTTTAAAAGCATCCAGGCCTTTTGTTTACTGTTCAAAAGTGTTTTGCTGTTAAATGTGAAGAATCACGGAGTTTAAAAATACAATGTGAAAATAGCTGCTGGAGTTAAAACTGAAACCATCTGCTTGAAATGAGAGAAATGGGGTTGAATATGTGGTGTCACACGCTTCCAGCAGTACTTTCCGAAAAGTGTTTTTGTTTTCTGAAGTATTGCTGGGAGAATTTATAGTCGCTTTCTGAAAGTATCTGTTAGCATTTTTTTCGCAGCTGATATTAACTCTTTCATAGTCACTTAATATTCACTGATCTTTGTCACTAAATGAAAAAGCTTCATCAGTGTGATAGATAGGGAAAGAAGGATCAATTGACTCTCAGTAAAGACCAAGTCTGACTAACAAATAACTTGCTTGTAAATGTCTGATCTTGGGTGAACTGTTCACCTCCTTGATTCTCATTTCTTAGACTTAGAATTGAATAATACTGAGCTGCTTCAAAATTCTTGGTGATAAACAGATAAAAGTACAGCATACAAGCAGAGGGCTACTGCGTGACAGCTGAATCCCGTCTGTTAACAGACTTGTGTACATAGTTCCTACGGGCAGAGGTGATAGAACCAAGCACCGAGGACTATCATAGTTGAGTTTTGCTACAGATGCTTCATGAAGGCTTTTAAAAATGAAATGTAATGGTATGAAACACCAAATAATGCTATTTCTGTTCAACAATATTAACTTCTGCTTCCTGTTTCCTAGGTGCATGGGCATCTACACAGACACACTGAACATCTTCATTCGGGTGGCCACCATGCTTGCAGGCGGGGGAGGCGGCAGGAGAAAGTAAACCAAGGCTCCTCTGCAGCTGTCTGACAGCCCACTCAGTGCACAGACTAAATAAAAAATCCTGGTTACAAGCCGTTTTGCTGCAAGTCAGAAATTTAAAGCATTTCAGCATATTGTTTCAGTGCAATGTGATTCAGACTTAATAGTTTTTCTTCAAATACTTTCCAGCTCTGTGTTTAAAATAGCGTGAACTGCTTCTAATTGTACGTTATTTTGGGAAAGTAAATTATTTTTAATATATGAGTAAAATAGGCTTACCTGCTTTTTAGTGGGTTTGACCGCAGTTCAACTCTTCTCTTTTTTTTTTTACTGTTACCGCATAGTAAAGGAAGTAATTTCTAAACTGGTATCCTATATGCAGATAGAGACGCAAGCTACTTCATGGAACGCTGTTGAGATGCATCAGTTTTCAGTTAAGATTGTATAAATGATATTTTAGTGACGCGTTAAGATGAACTGATCAGATTGGATATGGCGCTAAATGCAGTAATGACTTAAACCTTTCTGAAATTTCTGCCCAGGTAGAAGTGGTTGTCAGAAATGCATTGGATTTGGCAGGTGAGGTCACCAAAGAGTGTAAAGGAGACGAGATGAGGAAACTGGCATCTGTCCTCTATGAACTTTGGTCTCTTTCTGGAGTACACGTGAGAACTCCTTGCTTTAATGCTGACTGGATGTAATGGCCGGGTTCTTTGGATACTAGATGTATCAAGCTGTTGAGTAGCAATAGAGGTGTGTCTTTCTTCCAGTGACTAAAATCTCAGTATTGCAGATGAAACCTTGTCCTTCAGAAGAGCTCCGAGTGCTCATCTCCTACAAGCTTATACAGTTGGCACAGAAAGAGGGAATTGAGAATGGCCTGCTGTAAGCCCAAGTATCACAAATTCACCCTAATGTTGTATGCTTTAGTTTCTACCTCTTCTCCAAATGGGTATGTTTAGCTTGGTCTGGAAGAGATTCCCCTATCAGTAAAATTGATTTAACATTCAGAAATTTGTACTTACCAAACTGTGTTGCTGTGTGTTGGAATAACAAGTGAATTCTTGGGCACAAGAAAGTTTTGAGCTAATGTCAACAACTCGGACTTTCAATTTCTGGTAAATACACTGTTTATGTATTGACTTATGGAACAATAAAACTCTAGCCTCACAGGTTGCCTACTCTCACTTTCCCTGCGTTAACAGAAATATTTTAGTCCTCCTGCACTAATAACTTGAAGAGTACTATAAATTTTTATTTTGGCTGCAGTTTCTTTTCTAATAGCGCGCATATTCCTCTCTCGGAAAAAATCCACAAAGGTGCTTTCCAGTTTCACTGGCTAGCATCTTCTGGGGGATGTATCCCAGACGGAAGACGTTCATCTAAACTTGCTTCAAGTGGTTCTGTTGGTGTAACCTGTTGGCTACTGGCTACAGGCAGTGCTGCTTTTACATCCTTCATGCTGTAGTGTATTTTTAGTCTCTTCGAGCGTAAGGAAGAAACTGGATTGTGCAGAACCTTGTTGCAGCCTCTTTGTGCCTAAAGATGATATGGCATAATCTAGTTCCTGGTGCTCTTACAGCTCAAGGAAGAGAAACTAGTACTTGGATGGAAGAAATCTCTGGATCATGTCAAGTGTAAACAGCCTGTTCAGAGGGTTTTATCTTTTTAAGCAATTCCATATGCTTAATCAATGTCTGCATACTGTTCCTGTAGCTGAACACAGCAGTGTGCTCAAATTCTGGAATCGACAGGGAGCTGTCTTACAACAGAATTCTAATACTTGTGCCTGCAACAAAAGAATACTTGGGCCAAAGTGCTTTGTCTAGATTCTGAGGACAAAGTTTTAGTGGTTGACTGAACCAAGAGAGGGATCCTGGCTTGTTTGAGGCAGTAAGGTGTGGAGCACAACACCACTGAAGGGAGGTGTTTGCGTGGAAATGGGGACAGCAGGAAGGTCGGATAACCTAACAGAAATCAGGTCGAATAGTGCCTGGGGAAGGATGAGCACTCACTTGTGCTCAGGCTTCTGAAGAGATGCGGCTTGACTCCGGCGGATGAGAATATATCACTGGGAAAGTACCCTGTGCTACCTAGGGAAAAACAAGATAGAAGCATTGTTCCTTTCCATTTGAAGTCTTAAGTGAAGAATTAAGGTTTGTCTTATTTAAGTCAGCTCTCTGTTGGGGAGAGGTGAAAATCTAAGATGCGATAGTTTGATAGACACAAGAACAGGTGCCCGTTTTTTCTGGGAGAGCATCTGAGGGCTTGTGCTGGCCTGCTGTCAGGCTACTCTTGGAATGCAAATAGACAACTTGATAAACCTAAACATTCTTTAAGTTCTAGAAAGTTCTCAATAGAACTTTTTAGGATGATGTTACTGTTGGCAATCTATTGTGGTGAGGGTTTTTAATCCCCTCAATTGAGAGGTCTAATTGTAAAAAGAGATTATTTGAAGTAGGCACCACTGTCCTGGAGCAGGGTTTAAAACATCTTTCATGGGACTTTCTCAGCAAGTGTCCTGCCACTCCTCAGCTTGTGTCCTGCAAGTAAAGCCTCTGCAGAGCTGGCGGCTGACGTGTCTGAGGCTCGTGTCTCTGGGCTCTGTGGTTCGCTCTCCCGTCTCCTCCCGTCACCCCTCTGCACAGCCTTGCACTATGAAGGTGAGGCTTGTAGCTGTGTTAATTTTGCTTGGTTTTAACTTTGCTCCTGCAGGTAATGTGGTGAAGATGGAATCGCAGATGTGTCCCCTTTCCCCCTGGTTTCTTGGGTGATTCCTGGACTCACTAGTCTTTCAAGGCCAGAGATGTGTGGTGAGGGCCAGTCTGTGTGGCAGCTCTAGGCATCTAAACAGAAAGTTTCTTACTCAAGGCAAGGCTTGAGTCCAAAGACATTCACACTGAATGCAGCACTAAGTGTGCTATGCCTGAGGGAAACGTTTTCTTCCTGTGGTATTCTGGTCCTCTAGTTCAAGCAAGATGTGATTTAGGAAACTGTTTTTGACAGCTAATCTGCCAGAGCTCACACCTCGGTGATGGGGTGATGAGAGGAGCTGTGTAACCTCGTTATGGAAAGCAGATCTGTTCCCGCTGTGTGTCACTTCTTTCCCGAGTGGGGAAAAACACAGACCCCTAAACAGGGAGGGTTATTCCTCTTGCCATTTACCATGGCTCTAAAAGGTTAATTCTTCTTTCAGCTGCTGCTTGAGAAAGCACCTTTTTCTTTCCTTTTTCCTTCTTTCAGAAAGATGATAGGAGCATACAAGACGCTGTTGGATCTTCCGTGCAAAATAACTAGCCTGGTTGCCCAATGCTTAGTTCCAGAAACCGGTATGAGGAAACGGAGTGGTACAATGACCAATGTCTGGGCAGGCACCTGGCTCTTCTTCCTGAATAGATAAGGCATTTAATTCAGCTGGCAAGCCTCCAAAGCAGAAAATACTGTGCAGCTGTCAGCCTCTAGGGCTTCTGGAAAGATTTTTGTGATTGATCTGCATATTGATTTCTTTCTTAAAAACAGAGATAAATCCTGTTTGAACTGATCTGTCAGGAGGTGGTTTCAGGAATAGCAGAGGGAGTTTGTCCTTCTGGGTGGGTATAAATGCTGTTACTTGGGCCTCTTCCTGGTTCTTCTGTACATTGCGGATATGCTGATCAATTAACACAACAAAAATAAGTTGGTAATACGCAGTCCAGAACTTGAACTAGGGTGTTGAGGGGCTAAGGCAGTCTGTGTTTCTATACTGGCAGGAGTTTCAACTTCTTCTCTTCCTGCCAGCTCATGCAGAGTTGGGAGCTGGCAGGAGGGAAAGACTGTTCCTCCTCTGTCTGAGGGGTATGTTCCATCATTTGATTTAGTGTCAGCTGCTTGTGTCAGCTTGCATGAGCTAAAATCCCATGATCCAGTTCACTGGGCACCATTTCAATGCAATGAACACAGTCTGTCCCCCAAAGCATTTATGGTCACCTCACCTCAGTTGTATTTATGTGGCTAGGAAGGAGTGGAAGGAAAAAACACATACTTCATCAACAATGGTTTTACTTTTAGCTAGAAGTGTGATGGGATAGGAGAACTCCACTAAGCTTTTATTGAGAGAACAAATTTTGTCTGAATCTGTCTGTACAGAGACAGAAAGGAGAGTGAGTTTTTGCATTTCAGCTCAGCTTGTATTTCTTCTCGTTCCCTTGGGGCTCAAATATAACTTGAAAACATATCTGGTATTTTGTTTCCTTACATTGTCTTGGGCAGGGGAGGAATCTGAGAAGTTACTCTTGCCCAAGAGTTACAAGCCCTTCAGAAATCCTAAAGCAATGTATTACTTTAAGAAATGCAATTGTTCTTGTTTGGTTTTGCAGTTTGGGGAGGGGTTTGGGGTTGGGTTGTTTTTGGTTTTTTTTTTGTGGCATCATTCTTCTTAGAATAGATGGTGATGTATGAGGATGTATTCTGCTGCTTAGGAAGAAAAAGTGATCTTCATCTCTGGACGGACCATCACTGCAGTCAGGAATAAGGTGGATTGACAGTGATGGTAATGAGTGCTGCCCCGTGTCCCGGCTAGGTGGGATGGTGCAGTGATTTTCTCCTTTCACTCAGCAAATGAAGGCCTATCACTCAAAAGCCATTACCCTGATACACGCAGGTTATCTCGTCTCTGCTAGCTCACCATCGCGGAGCTGGTGAGTGAGTGTCCAGGAAGAAGTTCAGTAGTTCTGTAGATACCTAGACCACTGTACAATTTATGAAAATGTCTAGCTGGTATTTTTCCGGGAAGTTACATTTTAATCTTGGATTTTCCAGTTAAATATTTAATTCTATTTTCCTTGATAGCGGTCAAAAGTTTTTTGTTTTGTTTTGTTTTTTTTCCCCCCCCCAGCCCAAGGCAAATTCCTTCTTGGCCAATTCCTTTTCCAAGAAGATGTTGTTGTCATGCTATTTCTCTAAATGAAACTGTGGCAATTAAAAAAACAGATTTCCAGTAATACTTTTTGGTGTTCAGCAAGAAGTGGGAATGTATAATCTATTACAAGATTGCTCATTCATACACAAACCCCACAAACCCGCTGTGTTTCAGTTAAAGCTTAGCTCCTGCATACCAGTTAGTACAAAGAAATGCCTCACAGTAGCACTAAAGGTTTGTTCAGAAACTTAATGCCAATGTCTGCGAGAGCAGACCGAGTGTGTCAAAACCGAGCAAAGGAATTAACAAAGCTAGCTTGTCTTTCTGAACCTACTCCCATTCCATCGCTGGAGAGGAGAGATGGATCTAGAAGTCATCACTCAGATGTTGGGGGTGTGTGAATGAGACATTTGTGTTTCTGGAGTGTCAGTTCTGCGTTACGCTTCTGTTCAGAGGCTGTCCTTGCCTGGGAAGATGGGGGTGTGGGTGGGTTGGTGACTGGTCTCAGCCTTGTGCCAGCAGGTTGTTGGCCTCTGTGGCAGCCGGCCTCCCAGTGCCAGGTCACAGGTCTGAGCAACGTCCCCACCGCGGGCTGCCACGGATTGATGAACCGTTTCCTGTGTTGCAAGAGCCTGCCTCCACTTCATTTCGGTGACTAAAGGTCACTGCGATGGTTGAATGTCGAAATAAAATCCAATTCTGTCTTAAATTCTATGGAGAAAGTTTACTTAAATGCATCTTTTTTTTTTTTTCTCAAAATAAGTCAATTTCAAAATTTTGAAGGGAATTTATGGCAACCATTTTAAAATACTGTTTGCTATAAAGATCATTTATCAAAGAAAAAATAAGCTGCCTTACTCAATTATTTTCAAATATTGATGAGTTAAAGAAAATGTCCTGCTCACTAATGACAGCAGAAGTAGGGAGGAATCATCTATGTCTTTTGGAAGGCAATTCAAGTTGTTAAAGGCACCGGGCATACCCAGTCTGAGTGATTTGTAGGTGTACTGGTATATCGGTTTCATGAAGGGCAGTGCATGTCCCCTCTCGGCCTCCAGCAGTGTTAGAGGTGGGGCGAGCTGGATGGACATGACAAAGCTAATTACATTCGATACTTTCATAAGGTGAGATTTAAATATCATTTTGTATTCTATTATGCAAACAGAAAAGATGTACATGAGTCAGGTCTGGCCACCTTGCTTACGCCGGCTGACCATGAATAACTTAGGAAAATAACCGACTTATATGCTTGTTAAAAAAAGTTGAAGTAAAATATTTA